GAGCCTGTTTCCGATTCTGTGTCTCCCTCTCTCTCTGCCCCTCCCCCGTTCATGCTCTGTCTCTCTCTGTCCCAAAAATAAATAAACGTTGAAAAAAAAATTAAAAATAAATAAATAAATAAATAAATAAATAATAAAATTTATTTTAGAGAGAGAGCGAGAGCATGAGCAGCAGAGAGAGAGAGGAGAGAGGAAGAGAGAAAGAACTCCAAGGAGGTTCAGCACTGTCAGTACAGAGCCTGATGTGGGGCTCGAACTCACCAACCACGAGAAGGTGACCTTAGCTGAAGTCCAACGTTTAACTGAGCCACCCAGGAGCCCCTACAGCCTTTTGTTTGTACTCAAAGAATTCCCTTCAATATTTCTGGGAGGCCCGGTTTAGTGATGATAAACTCCTTCAATTTTTGTCCGGGAAATTCTTTGTCTCTCCTTCTATTCCGAATGATCATCTTACTGGGTATTCTTGGTTGCAGTATTTGCTTTTCAGCACTTGGAATATATCGTGCCTCTTCTTCTCGGCCTACAGAATTTCTGTTAAAAATCAGCTGATAGCCTTGTATGTAACTGTTGTGTTTCCTCTTGGTGCTTTTACTTTTAAAAGTTGTTTTGGTTATTATTGTTATTATTTTTTTCGTTGATGATTTTTTGAGACAGAGAGCAAGGGAGGGGCAGAAAGAGGGGGCGAGGATCCCAAGCAGGCTCTACATTGTCAGCTCACAGCCCGACGAGGGGCTCAAACCCGCAAACCGAGAGATCACGATCTGAGCCGAAATCAGGAGTCAGATGCTTAACTCGCTGAGCCACCCAGGTGCCCCTCTCTTGCTGCCCTGAAAATTCTCCCTTTATCACTACCTTTTGCCATTTTAATTATTAACGTGTCTTGCTGTGGACCTGTTTGGTTTTAATCTTGTTAAGGGCTTGTCTGTGCTTCCTGGCCGTGAATGTCTGTTTTCTTCCCCGGAGGAGGGAGATTTTCAGCTATGAATGGTCTTCACATAGGTCGTCACCTGTGGTGGCCACCCTTCTCCCCTTTCTCCTCTGGGGTCCCTAAATGCGAATGTCACTTGGCTGGATGATGTTGCTGACTTCCCTTAACCTCTTCTCATTTTGAGATGCTTTTCTTTTTTTTTTTTTTTTTAATTTTTTTTTTTCAACGTTTACTTATTTTTGGGACAGAGATAGACAGAGCATGAACGGGGGAGGGGCAGAGAGAGAGGGAGACACAGAATCGGAAACAGGCTCCAGGCTCTGAGCCATCAGCCCAGAGCCTGACGCGGGGCTCGAACTCACGGACCGTGAGATCGTGACCTGGCTGAAGTCGGACGCTTAACCGACTGCGCCACCCAGGCGCCCCGAGATGCTTTTCTAGCTGTTTAACTCCTTTGCTTTCCACTACTTGGTCGTCCAGATCACCGATGATGTTCTACATCGTCGAGGCTGCTGGTGGTTCCCTCTAGGGTATTTTTGTACTTCAGTTACTGAATTCTTCCTCTCTGTGTTTTTTCTTTTTCTTTCTCTTTGTTGAAGGTATCCCTGAGATCCTCCACTTTTTTCTCAAGTCCATTAAGTGTCTTTACGACCATTGCTTTGAATTCTTTAAAATAAATTTGTTTAATAGCTCTTTATCTTTTTTTTCATTAAAAAAAATTTTTTTTAATGTTTATTTATTTTTGAGACAGGGAGAGACAGAGCATGAACGGGGGAGGGTCAGAGAGAGGGAGACACAGAATTTGAAACAGGCTCCAGGCTCTGAGCTGTCGGCACAGAGCCCGACGCGGGGCTCGAACTCATGGACGGCGAGATCATGACCCGAGCCGAAGTCGGACGTTTAACCGACTGAGCCACCCAGGTGCCCCAATAGCTCTTTATTTTTGAGAGCGAGACAGAGACACAGTGTGAGCAGGGGAAGGGGCAGAGAGGGAAGGAGACACAGAGTCCAAATCAGGCTCCAGGCTCCGAGCTGTCCGCACAGAGCCCGATGTGGGGCTCGAACTCCCCAACTGGGAGCTCGTGACCTGAGCCGAAGTCGGACGCTCAACCGACCAAGCCACCCAGGCGCCCCTGCCTTGAATTCTTTATCAGGTATATTGCTTCTCTGTATTTCCTTTTAGCTTCTTTTGTTGGGATTTTGTCCTGTTCTTTTATTGGAAAAACAAACACAAAAATAAAAACTCCTGTGTCCTCAGCTTGTCTAACCCCATGTGTGTTGCTCTCTGTTGCCGGGCCCTTTAGGGGTGTCTCCTCTGTGGGCTGCGTGGTTCCTGCGACCATGGCTGAGCCCCATTCGTCTCCAGTCCGTTTTGCTGACTCGCTTTGCACCCTGGACGGCAGGGCGCTACCCCTACTCGCCCTCCCCAGAGGCTTTCGTCGGTGGCAGTCGCCTCGGTGTCTGTCATCGGCCTCTGCACGACACCTGCAGGTGCCCGGCCGAGAGGCGGGGCTGCTGGAACTGTGGCTGCAGTGGGGTGTGTGGTTATCCCCACCTCTCCCCAGGTCGGGAGTCACTCTGGAATGACACCGGTCCCCGCCCTGGCGGCTTGCGGGGTGTGGCTGGGCAGCGTTGCTTTGGAGGGACACGTGCCCGTGTGGGTGGATCGGAGCCGGCGTCTCCACTGGGGCCCTGGGGGCGGTCCCACGGTGCTCTCGAGGTAGGTGGAGAGTTTGGTTCTGGAAGGGAAATCACATGGGCACCTGCCCGCACTTTCATTTCTGGAAGTTTCTCCTGGAAATCCCTGCCCCTCCTGGGCATGTTCTAAGGCAGTGAAGTGTCCTCCACATAAACCCCAGGTACTTGTGAAAAACTTTTTTTTTTTTTTTTAAAGTTTATTTACTTGGAGAGAGAGCGCATGTGGGAGGTACAGAGAGACAGAATATGAAGTAGGTTCTACGCTGTCAGCACAGGGCCTGAGCTGAAACCAGGAGCCGGTGGCTTAATGCACTTGAGCCCCCCAGGCACCCTTACCCCGAGTACTTTTTAAAGGGCTCTTCTAGTGTTGTGCTGAGTGAAATAAGTCCGTCCGAGAAAGACCGATACCTTACGTTTTCACTCACATGTGGATCTTGAGAAACTTAACAGATGACCATGGGGGAGGGGAAGGGGGGAAAAAAGAGGGAGGGAGGCAAAGCACAAGAGACTCTTAAATACAGACAACAAAGTGAGGGTTGATGGCAGGTGGGGGAGAGGGGAAGCTGGGTGATGGGCAGGGAGGAGGGCACCTGTCGGGATGAGTGCTGGTATCGGAGGTAAGCCAATTGGACAGTAAATCGCATTCATAAACAAATAAATTGTGGCTTCTAGGTCGTTTCTCTGCTGGTTTATCTATCATCCTGTGATTAATTGTGGACGCTC